GCTTTATTTGCCCCTTTTCCCCCAACAATAATACGACTTTAAGTTAAATACTCCGTACTAAAGTGCGAGGCAGAAAAGGGTTTGTATTTTAATGTTATGGTGATGAAAAGGTATTTATAGATGAAAAGGTACGTCTATTGTATGAGGTGGAGTTAAGGGTATATTATATTGCATTTGATATTCTTAAGTACATAAACTTAGTTATTTAGTGTTAATTGAGTATACTTGTAAGATTAACACGTTAATATAGCTTAGTTAGCTAACAGAATGCTGAGTAAGAAGGGGTAAATTTCAGGGCCGGTTCTGGGGGAGGGCAAGAGGGGCGACCGTCCTAGGCCCGGAAAAAAAAAAAAAAATAGGCCCAAATATTTTTCTTTATGTATAGTGTTAGTAGGCTTCTTTTTTTAATTCTTAAGGTCAGTTAATTAGGCCTAGTGTTTAATTTTGTTGACAATTTGAAAATTTAAAATGTAAATAAAAATTTGAAAATTTAAAATGTAAATAAAAAGTTTTAAACGGAGCCAAGTTTAAAAAAAGAATATATACATTAATTTTAAGTAGGATCGATTGTAGTCTTTACATCTCTTTAGCCTTTAAGGCTTTTTATTCATTTAATTAATTATAACATAACAAATTTATATAATTATTTTAGAGCCCATCTCTCTCAAATCTCATCCCAATTATTTATTTGTTTCCAAATTTCAATAAACTATATCTGAGTTCCTAATAGTAGTTTAGATGACGTCAAATTGGCAGTCTTCTTGCGCGAGTGTTCTTGGCGGCCATACATTTTGTCTCTTTGAAAACCTTCATTCTTTCGAGACTTCAAACTTTAGACTCTTATCAACGGTCAATAAATCATTCTCAACTTATGAATTCAATATGTAGTGATATTTTTTTCACATTTCCTTTCAAAAAAAAGTTTAGTGTTGTTATATGTGGCAATTTTATTGTTTGTCATGTATTAATAGAAAGAAGGTTGCCTATGAAGCTAGCGATATTGATTATTTGCTTCATATTGTTCTACGAGAAATATTTTTTACTGATGTTTTTTCTTTTTATCCGATACTTGTGTTGTTACTTTTGCCCAAATATGTAACTTAAATAATAATAAAGTGATTTTTGACTTTATTTTATGAACTTCATTGGATATTTTTATTATAATTCTTATTTCAAATAAGTATAGTGTCATAGGCCCAAAATAGCGTACCGCCCATAGGCCCAGAAATGATCAGGACCGGCCCTAGGGGTAATGGACCAAGGTTATGACGCTGACCTTCAAGAAGTCGACCAAAAAGGGAAAAACAACTTTCGGAGGTCGACCCGCGGGGGGCATCAGCCAACAGGGGTGCATCGACCAAGGGGACGTCAACCTGCGGGGGACTGACGTCGACCAAGGGAAAGTCGATCAAGGGGCTAGGGGCTGATGTTGACCTTCAAGAAGTCAACATATTGGCATTCTGTTAGTCAACTCAGCCGTATTAACATGTCAATCTAACGGAGTAACAGGTGTACTCAATTAACACTAAAACCCCGAATTCATGTACTTAAAGAGATCAAATGCAATACAAGACCTGTCCCCGGTTCGGATATTTATTTATTTTTAAATTTTATTTATTTATTTAGGATATTTATATTTATTTAATTAAAATATTAATATATAAGAACAATACTTTGTGAATCAAACACATACATTGCGATATAAAAAACATTAAAGATGTCATACAAATTTTTGTAACTTATTTATTTTTAATAAATTTGAGCTTGGTGAATCAAATTAAAACATTATATTTATTTAGGATATTTATACGTATTTAATCAAAACATTAAGATAGACGAGACGTAGTAAGAAAATACTTTGTGAATCAAAGACATGCATTGTGATATAAAAAACATTAAAGATGTCATACAAATCTTTGTAACTTATTTTTAATAACTTGTAAAAATCAACTTTTAAAAAAAATTAAAAATTCCGGCTCCGAATCGGAACCGGCAGTTCCGGTTCTCAAAAATCCCAAAAATCGAACCGTCTCCCTTAATCGCAGATTTGGAACCTCGGCCGCAGACCAGTTCCGATTCCGGTTAAACCGGAAACTGGGGAGTCAGGGACAGGTCTATTTAAGGGTGTTTGGATCTACTTTTGCTCCTTGAAATAGTACAAGTAGATATCGGAATGTTTGAGTGAAACTACATAAATACTTCTGAGTGCTTCAAATGGCTCATAGAAATATTTTTTTAGAAGAAGGTGAGACCAGGTTCTGAAAAATTGATTCTAATTTTACTTTTTCTTTTAAAAAAGAAGCAGAATCCGGATCAATTCCAAACACCTCCGAGTAAAGTGCATTTAGGAGTTTCCACATTTAGTGCTTATTTCGTCCCATTTTTTAAAATAAAAAAAAAAATCTCTATTTTATTCAAAAGTTACCTTTCCATAATAGTTTTTTCAAAAGCCCAATTTTTTATGATGTAATGGACTTATGGCCACAATGGCATGACAAACGTAACAAATCGAAGTAGCCCAAAATGATGTAAATTGAAGCACCATATATACAGGCGATAACGTAACTAGCTTGCCCTTTACAAAGTCCAAAAGTGCAACATATCATTTGCAATATTTGGTTAAGATCCACATATCTTTCTACGTCTGCTCTGCTAAAATGTCCAACACTCCTATTTAGTTTAGCAAAAATCTTCCCTACTTTTTAACCTCTATCTTTTCAGTTTCCCAAAACTTTAGAAAATCCACATATCCACAACTCCGCAAGGTAGTGACCAGTGGACCACATTTAACAGATATTTATTCAATAGTTGGAACCGGAATTGAGTTTTATAATTATCTCACTCGTGTTGAGTAACCAGTGAATACAAGTCATTCATATTGATAAACAGTTGAAACTTATGAATTAAGATGATGTCAAATGCATGTTTAGCATTAGAAATTGGTCATTAGGACACTCATCTCAAGTTGTTAATAGCTTCTAGAAACGCTCCCTGATTTAGAGCCTAAATCCGTTAAAATTAATAAACTTGTGACTGAAGTAGCTAGGCTTCATACTATACTTAGGTAAACTTCAAAAATGAGTATTTCTTATTATATTTGAAACATGTAAACCATGGAGAGGAGATATAGATTTTTCAAATCACCATAGAAACTCGGAGACCAAGGCATAGATGGAGGGCTTATTAGGCCCCCTCATCCCAAATTCAAAAAGTGCCTATAATATACTCTTTTTGTCCCATAAAATTTGAACAATTTTGACTTACGCATGAAATAATAAAATAAATTTTGTGGTTGATATTTGTGCAAAAGAGAGAAAATAACTTTAACCACTTGTTTCTTACTTTAAACGAAATTGACAAACTTTTTTGGCATTGCTAAATAAAGAAATTTGGCAAATTTTATAGGACATAGTAATTAATTTTTGTATTTTATTACAATACTGAACCGGTTCTTGATTTCTTTTATAGGACAGAGTAAAAAACAATAGAAAAGTTATTTGTACTACCAGTCTACCACTCTAATAATTTTTCTTGTTGTGCCATTGAGGAGACCAACATGACCTATTACATACTCCGTAATTAGTTATTTTTGCTCGTTTATGTATGGCATACTCAAAGTGTGATCAGGTTGGTTCCATCTTGAGTCTATGCAAAGTTGTTTAGCTTATTGATTTTAATATAGACCATTTTGATGCAAAAAAAAACTATTGATAGTATTGTTATTATGATTTTAATTAAGTTATAAGTTAAAATCCAAATCCATCCAACATCAACCGCATAAGAGGCCAATACAAAAGAAGACATGTGTATTTAGTTTAGCATACAGTAAAGCACCTACCCAAGAATCACCACTAGCTAATTAAAATGTCAAACTCCCTACTAAACTTTTGACTTGCTACTGTAATCCCTTCGCCACTCCGTCCCGTTTTAATGCCTCGTCTTTTTTTTAGAGATCTAATTTTTCATTATTTAATTTTTTACAGTTCTTTTGTAGTTGCAATATTTCTATTTTTAAATTTATTAATGCACAATTTTAAACATTGATATATTTTAAACAATTTTAAACATTAGGAAAAGTGTCAAATAGGCCCCCCTACTAATACGAAAAAGTCAATTAAGCCTCCGAACTAAAAAAACATTCAATTAAACCCCCGAACTAAATATAATGAGGCAAAACAGTCCTTTTGGCAGGATATTAACCGTTCCCGGTTAAGTTGCATGTGTGGCTAATTATGTGACATGTTTTTACATTTTTTTTTCTCTTTCTTTCCTTTTTACCGGATCTCTTTTTAACCGCTTAATATCCTGCTAAAAGGACTGTTTTGCCTCGTTATATTTAGTTTAGGGGTTTAATTGAATGTTTTTTTAATTCGGGGACTTAATTGACTTTGCCGTATTAGTAGGGGGGCCTATTTGACACTTTTCCCTATATTTTATCCTTAGTGTAAAAACTTAAAAATATTAGATTTTAAAAAAATGAATATATTGTAAAATTTGTAATACACTAATAAATTTGTAATCTCATTTAAAATGAGGAATCTCATTTTAAATTTGTCATACACTAATAAATAAAATATATTTCAAGTAGAACATGTGAATAGTCTAAAATTCAACATGTTGCAACTATTTCCAAATGGAGTAGTGTAAGAAATATGAAAAATGTTGTTTATAAAGATGTTTTGGGAAATTTTAATTTGATACAAATATTTTGAACACATTATGTGCCTCAAACTTTCTTCTATTTTCTGGATTGTGTGTCTTCTTTATTGTTATACACTTATACCTTAATTCATAAATCATAAACAATTTTTTCACATTACAATTATAACATTTTAAACTCAAAAACGTATAGATATACGATATTTAAACTAAAACAATTCTATTGGAGTTGGGCCAGGGCAACGCCCCCGTGCACAACACAAGTAATTAATGTCCTATGACCACTAACTCTTCCATATCTCCCACTATATATATACACACTTCGAATTGAAACTGTGTTTCAGGTCATATACTAGATTTATGCATGCCTTGTTCACTTGAAACTATGGGTCATTCTTGGAATTTTCTTAAGGTGTTGTTTGGATGGGTAGTTTGTATCTTAAGCCTGAGCCTCCTCTCTTGGTGCTGTGGATCTATAGGGACTGTGCATATAGATGGGAAGAGAGCCATTGGAGCAACAGATAGTGACTTCATCTGTGCTACTTTGGATTGGTGGCCACCTGATAAATGTGACTATGGAACCTGTTCTTGGGGTCATGCTTCTCTTCTACATTTGGTACTTTTACCTTTACAAAAATTGAGCTTTTATATACTGAACTTCACTTTTAGTACTTATAACAATTGTTTCTTTTATGTTCATTAGATCACCCATAGAGCTATACCATCTATTCTATGACTTATCTGTGTTGTACGTGCAGGATCTAAACAATACTATTCTCTTAAATGCAGTAAAAGGTAAGGGTGAAATCTCTTGGAGGCAAATTCTAGTCAAATTTCGTTTTAAGTTTATGGGATGTGGGAGATTGATTATGCTTGTGCCTTCTTTTTTAATATTAAAAGTAGAATTAGAATCAATTTGAAAATTTAATTTCCCAATGCATCTTTTCGAAATCTGCTTCTAGGAGCAATTGGAGCAATTAGAAGTATTTGTGTATGTATTTGCGTACTTTCAACCAAACACTCTAATATCTCCTTCAGTTCCTGTCAGTTTTACGGAGCAATTAAAGCACTTAAGGGTGTTTGGATCTTATTCTTAAAACTATTTCTGCTCCTTCAGTGAGCAGAAGCTGAAGTTGGAGTGTTTGAGTGAAAGTGTAGAAGTATGATGCTCTAATTTACTCCTAGAATCAGTTTTTTTATAAGCTTCTGAAAACTAATTCTGATTCTGATTCTGCTTTAAAAAAGAAGCAGAAGCAGAATTGATTCCAAACCCCCCTTAGAAGTATTTGTGTACTTTCTATCAAATGCTCTAATATCTCTTTCATCTTTTGTTAGTTTTAAGAAGTAGAGCCAAACGGTCAAACACCCCCTGCACGTATGTTCTTCCAAATAAAGTTTAAATTGTGGGTATCTAATTGTACCTTTGCAACATGCTTATGCAGCCTTCTCGCCGTTAAAGATTCGTTTGGGTGGGACTTTGCAAGATAAACTCATCTACCAAACAGAAGAAAATGGTGAAAAGGGAAGCTGCATTCCATTTGTAAAAAACAATTCAGCATTGTATGGTTTCAATCGAGGGTGTCTTTCACTGTCTCGATGGGATGAAATGAATGTCTTCTTCAATAAATCTGGGTATGTTTGATATCAGTACGTTTGTTCTTAGACCCTGTTTGTTTGCAAGAAATCACTCTCTTGAAAATTGTTTTCTCGATTTTTATGAGTTCCGTGCATCAGAATATTGTTACCTGAAGATTCGTCTTATTTGACTGTTTTGCATCATAAAAAATTTGACTGTTTTGCCAAATGTGTCCAATTCTATTTTTGTTTTTACCCCCAGGAGGGTCATGGGAGGGGGTTTTGGGGGACCTGGGATAAACTGGAATCAATCTCACTCTATTGAGAATTGAACCTGGGACCTCACATAAGGGAGAGTGAATCGGCAATCATCTAAGCTGGACCGCCTCCCACCAAATGTGTCGAATTTGATCAATGTTTTTAACGAGTACATTTTTAGAAAAACAATAAATTTTGTACTTTTAAACAATATTTCAAGTCTGCGTAATAAAGGCTCGTTTTTAAATGCTACGTAGTACTTCGTATATTGAGGGAGGCCCTTTACTCTAGAAACATTGTAAAATTATAAAATTATATTCACTCCTCTGTCTCCAAATATTCTTCCGAGTTGGACTTGTATGATTGTATGATTGCATGATTATATTTGAATAAGAAAAAAGTAATTGAATTATAATCACATTGTCACACTAATCATTCCATGCGGGAAGAACTTTTTGAGACTTTTTGAGACATCCATCCCAGAAAAGTATAAGGGATTATAATAAAATGATAAAACCCCATCAATTAATCAAAGATTATAATCCATGTACTTTAAATTCAACAAAAAAAATCCAATTTAAATTAAACAAAATAAATACTAAATATACTACCTCCATCTGACAATGTAAGATGTGGTTTTTTATAAAATAAATGATAAAGTATTCATTTTACAATTCTAATCCTAAAAAGTAAGTACCAGAAATGGATCACAAAAGTAAAGGGTGAAATGGGAAAACACATACTCCCTCGTCACATTTTGACTGTCTAACTTTCTTTTTTGGATTGCCCTAAAATGAATGTTCTTTTTTTGCAGAAAATGTATGATCTTTATTATTTCATTTTATTCTAATTAAATTTTAATCGCAAACTTTTACTTTTCAATTATGATAGTACTTTATTAATAATTGCGCCAAACTAAAATGAAACCCCCAATATACAGGTAGTACATGATAATTGTGATATTTAGAGAAAAGCTACATGAAAATCCTAAACACTTTGGATGAAAATACGTGCAAGAAACAAATAGATCGACTCATGTGTCTCCAATTTTTGTGGTGGTGGGCATCGAGTCATTTGAACCCAAAACCTACTAACACAAAAAACAAATAGTTTGAGCCTTTGAGGCGTGAGTTACAGAACCATTGTCACTCGTCATTATTTTAATTTCCATTTTAGCATATGTAAAGAATTAGGCACCACATGCCTTGGAGAGTTGGAGCCTCTAAGAATTGATCGAATCATTTACTCGATCTAAAAATGAGCTATAAGTCTATAACCACATACTTTCCATCTCATATTTTGAACAAAATCAGACTTTGCACTCTGTTTTAACAAAAGTTTTGTACACTTCATTCCCTCTTCTGATTAAAACTATCGATGGTTAAGTTGTCCGATATTTCTTCACAATTCACAAAATTTTGAATCGGATACATTAACTTTTCTGAAAATGAGTCCAATTTCATATAGGACATGAAATCAAATTTCCCCAAGAATTAATGAACATGACATATATGTATTGTTTTGATTTCAGAGCGGTTATCATTTTCGGTTTAAATGCTCTCATAGGAAGATCATTCCGGCCCGACGGTTTAGCGACCGGACCATGGAATTCAACCAATGCTGAATCTCTAATACGTTATACTGTTAACAAAGGCTACACTATCCATGGTTGGGAGCTCGGTGCGTTCACAAATTTAACTCTTGATCAGTTGAAGTATTCTACATCTACACCGATAAAATATGAACTAATAAATTGCGGAGTAGTACGTAATATATAAGATCTTGGACTATTGCTCTTGATACACGCTTTATACACACAATTCCTTTTATAAATGAGTTCAATGAACTCTATTACACAAATAACACAAAGATAAATAGGCTAAAAGGGTCAAATAAGCACTCGAACTAGTTTAAAAAGTGCAATCCACCACTTATATAGGAGGCTCTGTTCAGCCGTCTCCAATTGGGGCGGTTCCCGGTGTAATTTTTTGATGAAATTTTTTTAGCATCTTTTTCATTAAGTCTAGTTTACTCCTACCAAATTTCACCTAAAAATTCAATCGGTAAGGCAGTCAAATGAAGTTTTGAAGATAACTGCGCGGTTAAACAGCGCAATACATTTCAGAAAATCATTTGACTGTCTTCCCGGTTGAATTTTTATCTAAAATTTGGTATCGATAAACTAGACTTAATTAAGATGATGCTCAAAAAATTTCGTCAAAAAAGTCCTCCGGGAACCGCCCCAATTGGCGACGGCCAGACAGAGTCTCGTATATAAGTGGTGAATTACACATTTTAAGTTAGTTTGAGGGTCTATTTGACCCTTCAGCCGACATAAATATAATGTCTCTTTTTGCTTGTCGTTAGGGAATGAATTGAGTGGCGTGGGAGATGGGGTAAGAGTTACAGCATATCAGTATGTTTATGACACAATTCATCTTAAGACGATGTTGGAAGATGTTTACATGAATGCTAGCAGTAAGCCACTGCTTGTAGCACCTGGAGGATTTTTTGATGCAAAATGGTATAAAAAGTTCATAGAGGGAGCTGAAAACTCTCTTGATGTGGTCACTCATCACATTTATAGTCTTGGTCCAGGTATTTTCTCATCACCACAACTATTAAGTTCAATTAGACGGTCCAAAATATAATGCCAAACATGTTTGTGATACTCGTATATTATTATGTACAATCGTACTTTGTGTACACGCCAATTTTACACGCTCACAAAGATAATAGTGTTCAAAATTCCGAATTCTTTAACAAATGTATGTATGCACGGATAACTAGAGATGGACGTATATTTTTTTTTTAAACCCCGTCCGCAAAGAGATGGGCGTATATAAAAACGTATAAAATGATGTGTATAAAGTCCTACGTAGAACCCGTTTGGTAATACCAAAATGAGTTAAATGATTCTGCTGAACTTTATAAAATTCTGACTGAAGTGGCTGCTAAATTGGCTTATTGTACTGATTTATAAAATAATAATATTTAAAATATACATTTTAGTAATAAATAAAGAAAAAATCATCATCATCATTACCACAGTGCCACAAAGACTCCCACTTTCAGTGGGATAAAGGGGTCGAATATACGCAGTCTTATCCCACATGTACTAAAGCACAAAGAGACATATAAAGAAAAAATTGTTAAAATAATTTTCTAGACTAACTTTAGCCAATATAATCAAAAAAGTAACTTCAACCTTACTTTTTCTTAATATTACATAATTCGGCACGTGAAATCAAAAGTTACGTGTTTGGTGAAAAAGTTGGCTGATAATCCTGATAAGACGAAAAATGAGGTCACCAAACGGGCTCGTAGTATTATACTGGAGTATATCATTGGGAAATGATTCTCAACTTTTAGGATGTTTTTACTTGGATGGTTGGACTGAAATTTGTTGGTCTAGTCTGGTGAGGTTAAGTCTAATTTGGTCTAGTCTATCTCTGTGTATTTTATACCCGTAAATTATAACTATTGAAGACTGGTCTGGTTTGTTTAAGTCTGATTTGGTCTGGTTTAATATGTTTAAGTCTGAGACTAAAACATCCTTATGGGATGTATTGAAATTTGTGATTTCACCCATCTAACTTTTCTTAGATAATATGACATCTCTTGAAATATGTAGGGGTGAGGGTGGTCCAGAACAGTCGTAAATTAGTAAAACCAGTAATGCATCCGCGAGGTTTCTAACGGTCCGGTACTGTACAGTTCTAAGGATGGAACCATTCGTAATCATGTCGATTCAGAACGGTACAAAACGGTACGGTACAATGTCAAACACATGCTAAAAAATTGGATAAATCTTGCGATTAGTAGATACCATCACACCAACCAATTCACATGAAATGTTGATATAAATACAAGAAATTGCTTAGGTAGTACGGAGTACTAAAATTCACACGTACATAAATAGTGCAACACAACTAAGAAAAAATATAGCAAAATGATGATGCACGAGATAAATAGCATCTTTAATTTACTAATTTTCGGGGGTTTTACAAGAATATTACTAAAATAAAACTTATTTACATAAATATGACTATTCATTACTACAACCTAGTGTTGTGGTAACTTAAGTTCAAAATTTGAACATGAATTACTATGATTTCATTACTACTCTAGTAAGTAATCATATTTTTGTAAATCATCTTTATTTTGGTCATATTTATGTAATTATTTGAATATAAAAAGAATATCATCAAATTGTTGAATATAATAGAAAATATCAATGTTATTCTTTGTTCTAGGTTAAATATTAGTTCTAATTTCATTTATAGTTCAACTGTGAGAGCTAAAATTTAAACCATATATTAATTAAATAGTAAAATGGTACATACACGATACAACAAAAAGTCATATACACTACATTACTAGAAATGAATAGTCATTAATGATTTTTAAAAATTATCATTCTTTGAATACATACTAAAATATAACATAAATTATTTAAAAAGAAATAACAATTATATATATAAAAACACACACATTTAGCTATTTTAGGGACACATGAATAGATACTTGGGCTATGAAATTGTGGATCTATAAAAGAGATTTTTTGTATGGAAAAAATATAAAAAAAACGCATTATTTTTGAACAATCTGGTCCGGTATTTTTCAGTTCTCAAAATCTAGGACTGGTCGTGTACCCGTTTCAAACGGTATGGTTTCGGTTCGGAATAAAAATCTATAGAACCATTTACATACCCGATATTCGGTTCGATATCATTATGGGCCGGTTTGGTACCATTTAGTTCGGATTTGTGCCCACCCCTAGAAATATGACTCCATTTCAGCGCAAGATTTGTCTACTATCATGTTTTAACAATCTTGCAAGTCATTTTATTGAATATTTCTTGGATTAATTGTAGCAAACGATGAGCATCTCATTCAGAAAATCCTCAATTCGTCCTACCTGGATCTCGGAGTAAAGACATTTAATCAGATGCAACACATCCTCAAGAGCTCTGGCACTTCTGTAAATGCTTGGGTTGGTGAGGCTGGCGGTGCCTATAACAGCGGCCGAAACCATGTCACAAATGCCTTTGTTTTTAGTTTCTGGTAATCCTTTGTTATTCCTCGATCAAAATCTTAGTTCCTTGTTCAATTCATAGTGTATAAGTATTTCACATATTACCATATAAATATGTGAAGGTTATACGGGGGCGGAGCTAGGACACCGGATCGAACTGGCCCAATAAAAATAGAAAACTTTACACTAAAAAAAATTGGGGTGAGCGGAGGCCTAGGTTGTTCCCATGGGCGAATCTAGCATTTACATTCACCAGGGGCCAAAATTTAATTAAATAATGTATATATATATATATATATATATATATATATATACTACGTATATTGCTAAAAAATCAAAATTTACTAAAATAATACTACATGCGTATTTAACAAAAATTATTTTGCGGGTATAAATTGATATTTGTTGCAACATAAATGTCAAAGACAAAAATAAATATTACGGAGTACAAGAATAAGAATTTTGTCAAAATCAAATAAAAACACCTCAAATTTAGGGAAAAGGTGCAAATAGGCCCATCTACTAAGCAAAAAAGGTCAAATAAACCTTTATTTAGGAGACTCTGTCCGGCCGTCGTCATTTGGAGTGGTTCCCGGTGAAATTTTTTTATGAAAATTTTTGAGCATCTTATTCATCAAGTCTAGTTTACTCATACCAAATTTCAGCTAAAACTTTAATGGGGAAAGAATTCAAATGAATTCTTGAAAATAACTGCGCTTCTAACTGCGCAGTTATTTTGAAGAATTCATTTGAATGCCTTCGCGATTGACGTTTTAGCTGAAATTTGGTATGAGCAAACTAGACTTAATGAATAAGATGCTCAAAAAATTTCATCAAAAAATTCCAACGGGAACCACCCCAAATGATTACGGCCGGATAGAGCCTCTTAAATAAGGGCTTATTTGACCTTTTTTGGTTAGTACATGAGCCTATTTGCACATTTTCCCTCAAATTTATAACTATTCTCTAGTGCTCTTCATATCAGAAATAAATGTGAATATAAAAAATTAGAATTATATAAAGGCATAAAGGTTAAAACCTAAAAGATGAAAAAAGAATGAAATTATAACTAACAAAGTCATAACTCATAATAGCCCCTCCCTGAAATGGTTTAAAATCCCAATATATAGATATACCAAGTTTTGGAACTGGGAACAAAAAGATGTACTCCGTATAGGGGTGAATACATGCCAGACCAGACTTTCGCCTAAACAGGCAGGGCCTGTTTTAGAATGTATAGGCCTGAGCCTGGCCTGTTACCTGTTAAAGGCCTGGTTTTTCGGCCTGTGCCTGATCTATTCCAAAGTCTGGCCTGGTCTGAAGACTGTCTACTGGACCTGTTAAGAAAAAACAAAATTTCAAAAAAAAAAAAAACAAGTGAAAAATCCTTTTAACCCGATATAAAATTTATTCCCCTAAATATTCACTAAAAAGTCTAATAATACGTTAGTTTTGCTTTGGATGTCTAAATCAGGGCCGGTCCTGGGGCATGGGCAGGAGGGGCATGCGCCCAGGGCCCTTTGCTCCAGTAGGGCCCATAAATTTCTCAAACATTTCTTTTGAATCATTACGGATTATTACATTAAATTTAATCTTTTAGTGACTTAGTGTACATGTCTTATGTATATCCAGAATTCATTGATGTATTTCACAAATTTTCTCCAATGCTCTCTTTAGTGAAAGATTGAACTTTAGTGTCCATAATTTAAAAACTTAGAATTTGTTTTTGTCTAGTGAAAATGTGATTTAAAATATGAAATAGTTACTCCTTATACAAGATATAACTTTCACCACTTTCTTTAATTCAAAATTATTATTGTGCCTAATATATAGTTGCAATACTTGTTTCACTCGGCTGTTAGGTACATTTTATCATCGAATGTCACTTATCAATAGATTCAATACCCTCTATATATATTTTCTAACCACATGCTTTGTTGGTTTTTTTGATATGTTATACTAGTATTTTGACGGTAATATTGAATTGTATAATTTTAAATTATACTAGTAGATTTTTATAGCAAAAAGAACATTATAAACATTCTCGCGCTATCCCTGAGGCCCGGCCTATTTGTATTGTCCTGGGCCCATAAAATGTCAGGACCGGGCCTGGTCTAAATCTTGAAATCTTGAAACACTTTGAATTTCAATTAGCTTAAAAAGCTATTAACACATGTTATATATATTTAAAATAGTATTCTATTCTAATTTATAATACACACTCCATAAGAATACTATTATGCCGAAATTACTATTCAGCTCAAAGCTTAAACTTTTATAGCAAATGATAACATCACTTGATGATGATAGCACACTCGTTATAATTTATAACATACAACCCCAAGGCTCAGGTTGTGTTTTGGTCTTTTGGATGTAATAACTTTTATAATGATAGTATATGTTTTTGAGCAACTCACATTGTCTGGGAATGATGCACAAGGTATCTTGATCAGCTAGGGATGTCTGCATCCTATGGTACAAAGACATACTGCAGGCAAACGCTGATTGGTGGAAACTATGGATTACTCAATACCACCACCTTTGTACCGAATCCAGATTACTACAGGTTATTTAGTAACATAAATTATATATGGACTCCTATTATATATTATTGAGTGTTCAGTCTTCCTAACTTTTTCAACACCTTCATTAGTTATAGAGTTTAGTTAGCCATGTTACATAAGCCATCTTGTTTGCAGTGCTCTTCTTTGGCATAGATTAATGGGAAGCAATGTGTTGAAAACAAGATTTTCAGGGACAAAGAAATTACGCGCTTACGCTCATTGTGCAAAGAAATCTGTAAGTTGAATCAAACTGAGATCTCACTCATATACTTATTTTTGAGAGAAGATACAAATATACCCCTGAACTATATGATAAATCAGAAGTATGTCCAAAATGATTAATAAGTACTCATATACAGTTCAAGAGTATAATTGTTCCAAAATGAAGAATATACATGCTCTCTCATATATAAAGTTCAAGGGTACATTTGTTCCTTCTTCATTATTTTGGTACACCCATGGAGAAGATTTTATTAAATTGCTCTAATTTGCAATCTTTATTCTGAAAATACTTGATGCTCAATAATTAAGTTATACATTAACCATTTATTAAAATGAGTCAAACTGTAACATTAACAAAAAAAAAATTTACATTTCATTAATTTCAAAAATAAGTCTGTATACTTTTAATATTTGCATACAGGCCTCCATATTTTCAACTTGTTATGCAGACTGGCATTACCATATTGTTGATCAACCTGGATGGCAACAGTAGTGCAGTGGTGGATGTTGCATACAACAAATTCTCTAAAATCGGCGGAACCGCGAGAGAAGAGTATCATCTGACAGCAAAAGATGGAGATTTGCAGAGCCAGACAGTTCTTCTAAATGGGAAGGAATTGATTGTAGACTCATCTGGGGAGATACCTTTGTTGGAACCACGGGTTGTGAACCTGGAAGAACCCATAAACGTTGACCCATTTTCCATTGTCTTTGCTCATGTACCTTATGTGTTTCTGCCTGCTTGTATCTGATATTGTGAAGTAAATAGGAGATATTATTAGCCCATAAAGGGTCACCATTTTGGTCATGCATTGTAATGACTCTGAGATAGGAAAGAATAATAAATAAGGTCTTTTTGTTAAGATGATAGAGCACGTACTGCACTTTCGTTTGCGCTCGATTCGTGATTCGAATTCGTATATGATTCTTTAAATTCAAAAACTCAAATAAGAAGAATATTAATAATAATCATCATTATTATAATAAAATTATTATAATAAAAATAATAATCGTAATAGTAATCGTAACAATAACAGTAATAGTAACAATAGTGATGATAATAACAAGAACAGAGAAAATCATCATGTCAGGCCGGCCTGACCGGGACAGCTGTCCAGCCGAGCTCTTTTGGCGACCTTCCCGGTGGAATTTTTTGATGAAAAGTTTTTAGCATGTTCTTCATCAAGTCTAGTTTATCCATACCAAATTTCAGCTAAACATTCAATCGGGAAGGCAGTCAAATAAATTATTAGTGAACACTGTGCAGTTAATATATATAAACAGCGCAGTATTTTTCAAAAAATCATTTGATTGTCTTCCCGATTGAATTTTTAGCTGAAATTTGGTATGGATAAACTAGACTTGATGAAGAACATGCTCAAAAAACGTTCATCAAAACATTCCACCCGGAAGGGGCCCAAACCGGCTCGGCCGGACGGATAATACACTTGAGGCAACAATCATTAAGTCGCAAGTGGTCTCTCCTTCTAGTAGGGTTTAGGTTTCTCCGCAAGCTTTTGCGATTGAACATAGAGACCAGATATTAGTCGTCGTTTGGGGGTGTCTTCCTTTCCGATCGAATAGACCTTTTCGATCGAACAGAGAGTGCAGCGCCCGAAGTTTGGGAGCAGTGATTGATCGATGTTTTAATATGAATGTTTCTTATTGTAGGCGGGAAAGGCGGCGAGCAGACGGGGATAAGTGAATGACTGAACAAGGGGGAGACAAATCGACGGTCCGCCCACCTCCTTAACCGCCGCCTTGGAGTGATCATGGTGCCAGAGTTTGGGAGATGATGTTTAAAGAAAACTGATAGGAAAAAGTTCGAAGCATTTATCAATTATTTTATTTCTTATGATCTTATTTTCGCGTTATTATTGACAATTTTGCTATCTACTACGTAGTATGCGTTAGAAGATCTATATGGTCAGTAGGGATGTCAATTGTGACTGATCCGATGGATACCTGCACCGAACCGCCTCGGTCAAAGCGGGGAAAACCGCATTGACCGGGTAAATGGTATGGGGCGGGGAATACCTGTTTTGGTTTTACGGGTAACAGGGCGGTTACAGTTTTATAAATGTCTACCCCATTACCCGCTGGTCAGGCCAAACTTGCAAGTATACAAGTGCCGATATAGTAATTAAATACTGGGTCGATCCACAGGGAAATGGTTGATATTATAAAGTTGAATATTGGATACAAAAGAATATAAATGGTATAATTTTTCAAGAACTTTTTTCTTTGAGATTGATTTATACAAGAATGAGTATTACTAAGGCAATCAGGATTTACCTAAATGCTTTAATAGTTATTTAATAATAGTTCTTTCCCAATAATTATAAATACGATGTCGCTAATATATTCTCAACTCCGGTTAAGGCAGCGAGAGCGTGGTTTTCGTTACGTGTAAGTCCCGTTACGACTTGCATTTATCTACCGAAAACCCCGTTGAATATCAAGACAATACACCCGTATCATATAAGACCGGATATATTTCTATTCTCGGTACTATATATGTTTACCCTTTAATGTTCATATTTCTATTTTCGGTACTATATATGTTTATTCTTGTTAATTGCAAGCATAAACTAAATTTAACATACTTCTATGTTGTACACCATAGTCATAAACAATCAAAATATAAAGGATAAATCACAATTTATTGGTTTAGAACTTTTATCAAACACCTAGTGAGCATAGAGGTTCATCCCTAGCAGTAGCTAAGAAATTAGTCTCTAATACTCATATTAACCAAGATTAAATTCTATGAATGGAGAAGAACATATAAATATAAAGGAAATATTACCTAAACATCAATGGTTGGAAGAAATGAGCTTCCACACCTCAAGCACACCAGGAAGAACAAATAAAAACTATAAAAACTAAGTATGAACTAATGGATTAAATTGGGATTGGATGATGAATTTGGGATGGATTTGAAGGTTTATATAGGCTTTAAAATGATCTTTGATGGTCTATTCATGATCCTCAATCAACTTGGGGCAAAATTTCCGAGCCATACCTTCCAAATATCTTCATTCCAACTCACAATTTTTGAACACATCGTCAGGTTTTCTGCATATTTCGGCAGGACCGGCGCCAATTGGGCATAACTGTCTCCGGTTTGAAGGCCCTTTATTCATATTTCACACATGACCGGCGCCGGTTGGGTCACATGATCGTCCCCGGTTGCAAACAGTAGCTCCCTTTCACAAAATTTCAGCCTGAACGACGCCGGTTGTGAACTGGCTGGTGCCGGACGACATAACATTTTTTAAATTACTAATTTGTGAATGATGCCTTCAACAAAGTTGTAGATAATGAAGTCTTCTATAAACCAAAACTTGAATTACGTGTTTTCAATTATCCCATAAAAAGATATGGATAAAACACTAAGAGGTATGCATCTTGAAATCCCATCAGCAACATCTGACTGTATTGGTTGATTGAGTCTTTCTCTTTTCATATTCTTGCCATGAAGTCTTCACAACATTTGTAGATTATTGAGTTATCCTTCAGATGAAACTTCGAATCGAGTCATTTAAAATTCTCTACAATAAGTTATACTCGAATTATGGACATAACGTCATCCTCTTGCTCCAAAAATCCGTTCATCGTAATGTTTTATGCTCTAGCTCTCATTCTGAAGGTATTTGCCCGATTTCTCTTCTTTTCTTCAACAAATACTTATAAATACTTATGTTAAACACAAGTAAATATAACGGCTATAAACCGCCCCGTACCCGCCCCGTTTATTTTTGGCTATATTTTTTATTACATTTTTATCTATTATGTGTTGATTTGTCCCACTATTATTAAAAGATGAGATTTTTCTATTTTCATCGTGTATATATGAATAATAGATGTATGTACTAACTATAATGTATGAATGAAAGTTCATAATAGATCATAATAGTCTTGTTTAATTATTATCACACTTTTTTCATGATTAATTATTTTTCATATCAAGTTTTTTTGGTTCAAATTAATTTAGGTTGCTTTCTTTCTCGTCTTATAGATATGCGAAACTTTAAAGTGACGTATGAGTCTAGAGTTGTCTATGTGATGTCATATTTGGACTTTTAAAATATTATTTTTGTATTTAAAATATCAATGATTCATGTAATAAAGTGATTACCCGTGATTACCCGTGGTTATACCCATTGGAGCGGTTATATATGGTTACGCCAGTGATTGTTGTGTCACATTCGTTTGGTGGTTAGCGATTCATATTTCTCTTTCAGGGGTGATTGTTTTTAAGTCTGCCCGTAGGATTGACAGTGATAGTTGTGAAAAAATGGGAAAGGGTACTCCAACAGGAGTCGTGACAGATATTTCTATAATAGAAGAGTTGTCACAATACAAAGTATTCCTAAGTAGATATTATGTCGATTCCTAAATATGTTGGCTATTACACCCCCTCAAACTGTGCGGGCCGGGAGATACAACGCGCGTGTTGTCTTTTGAAAAATGACATTGCAAACTAAAAAAACTCTTAGTAAATATATCCGCCAACAGAAGATTAGGAGGCACATATTTGACAATAAGATCTCCATGAGCAAGTAAGTTGTTTCTAGGACTTCCAAGAAACCAGATTAGGACCAAGAAATACAACAGATCCCGACGTAGATCTGCAGTCGGATGTCCGATATATGTCGGAGTAGGCTGCCAATATTGTCCATAATTTGGAGACCCCTGAAGATATCTTGAGCAAGAGCAGCGAATGAAGTGGGCAGCGGAGAGGATCCCAGCCGACGGCCAACTGGCCTGGCCGGAGATAATGGGATAATGCCAGGGTCATCGGAGAGAGTGGGACAGGCGTAGCACTCCGGAACAGCTATGTGACCGGCCGAACCGGACTCGGCTAGAGAATGGACGTGTGCAGCAGCGGACGTTGTTAGGTCCCTGTTTTCTAGTCTATAAAATGTATGTATGGAAGACAGATCTGGGAATGAAGCTTTCCATTGATGTGATGAAGAAGTTTACAGAATGATATGAATGTTAGCGTAAAACTTCTATCACGAGAATAGGCACTGCGGCACTAGGAATATCGAAAAGCTTAACCTAGCCTTTCCCTTAAGGCATATATATAGCCTGACGGGGAAGGTAGGTTTTACAATCATTTGGGCTCCTTTTCCTAGGAGGCCCATACCTAAAAAGGTATAAAACCTTTATTACAAAATTGCCTTAAAAGGCCTATTCATTATTCTAGCTAACTATAAACTAGCAAAGTAACATTGATCACAATTACAATGAAAATATCTCTAACAATCTCCCCCTTTGTGATCAGATGTTCTTGCTTCTTCTTTTCTTCACTTCTGAGCTTTAAAATAATGCTTTCTAAGATTGAGTGCATGCTCGTAATTTCTGAGAGACCTTCTTCTGTCAAGTTGTTTCTCGATGGCTTTCAAGATTTTATTGACTCTTTCCAATTCTTTGATTTCTTCCTTCGAGGCTTCATTCTGTCTTTTATCTAGATCTTCTTTCCTTGGCTGGAGCTGTTCTCGGATGATTTGCAGGGTCCCATCACAGTATTTTTGAATGTCTTCAACAATCATCAGACGCTTCTCTTCTTTGTGATTCAGATAGATGACTGAGATGGGCTTGTCAAATGTATAATATGCTGTAAAGGTTTCAAGCCCAGGTCTATCCAAGTCCGGTCGTGTAAGATTCGCCTTTGAATAATTGTGCTCAAGAGTCATCTGGAGATCATGGGAGGCGTAGAACCGAACTTGTCTTGTCATGAATCTCTTAATGGCCTCAAAACCTTCTCTAGCAAGTCTGTCTTTGTGCACTGGGAGCTCCCTGCATCTCATGAACATTTGATAAATATCATCCATGTGCAGTAGGAAGAAGTCATTCTCTTGACAGGTGAACTCCGAGCCATCGGTACGTCG